AGGGGGGGCAAAAAGATATGTTTGCCCAGAGGTTTTCCGTTTAGGAGGGGCAATTGCCCATTTTGCCCCAACGTAGATCCGCCACTGCCCACCAGGCAATGCATTCCCATGTGTTGCGGTTAGGGTGCTACTGCACGTGCGCACGTGCAGGGGGCGTTTCCAGATCTCGAGAACGGCTGGGCCGATTGCGCTCAAATTTGGTACACGGTTGGGGACCGGTTAGTAGGGTGCCGTGCAAAAGTCATTTTGGACCCCGTTTGCACGTGCGCATAGAATGCCGCTTCCAGATCTCAGGAACGGCTGGGCCGATTGCGGTCAAATTTGGCCCGGTTATAAGGGTGCTTTGCACAAGCCCGTTGGAAGTCCCCTCTCGCCCTTCCGCACGTGCAGGGCTCACTATCTCGCTCGCTCGTTCTTCGCCCAAAAGGCGTTTTACTGGTACAATAAGTGTTACTTTCGAGAGGAGATAAACGATGCTTCGATGGAGATGGAGAACGATGGGAGATAAACGACTACATAGGACCACAGCGCAACAGCCAACGGAATCACACTGAACAGCGTTAAGTTCCCACAACATACTGAGCTTCTCCAACACCTCGCAAACCAAAAGCTCTGACTGAGCCTTTCTGTGTTTGTCGTCCCCACTGGCGTCTGGCGGTCTGCTGTTGACGGTTTGTTTACTTGGTTCAAGGTTTCAATAAATCGCGTTATTTTTTTTTGTAGCAGTAGCAGTAGTAGCACTGCTGATGGATGATGGACTGACATTCATGGGGCGGACTCGGAGGCTTTTTATCAGCTCACAACTTAATATCACGAATATGACAAGCTTCTACCTAGTCCTCCATTTATTTCACATTTTCTTTTCAAACACCATATTTTTAATATTCAGGTTGTAGGTTTTTTAGGGGGGGCAAAAAGATATGTTTGCCCAGAGGTTTTCCGTTTAGGAGGGGCAATTGCCCATTTTGCCCCAACGTAGATCCGCCACTGCCGTTGAGATTGGTAAAACCCTACATTACTTTAGCGGTGGGCTGTACCTGCTGTAGCACCCCAACCTGAACACATGCAGATGAATTATCTGATGGAGACCTAACTGTGTACCGAGTTTCAATTCAATCGGCCCAACCGTTGTGCCGTAATTGAGGTTGCAATTTTGGGGGTTCTCAGGGGCCCGGGAACGATTTTCAAGTTGGGGGGGGGGGGCGAGCCTAAAATACCTGACATGATGCATATGAAACAGTGGCGTAGCTGGGGCTCTTAGGGGACACGTGCCCCCCCCCCCCATTGGGTTCAAAGGGACCCTCGGGTCCGACGGTCCCTGCGGCCCCATCTGACCGCTGAAGGTTAACGATGACCATATTTCGACTCAGAAGGGCCCCATGGGGCTCGTTAGAACACCTCATGGGCCCTAAATAGCCACACTAAGATCTCCATAAGGGCCCCACTCCGGCTTCTGAGGACCTCTTACGGCTTTAAGGGTCCCTCGGTGGTCTCCAAAGGCCGTTACTGGCCTCTGAGAGTTCTTATCGGCCTATGAGGGGCCAGTTCTAGGGGCATTTCCCACATGTGATGGTCCCACACTTATTTTTCTGAGGGCCGAATAACGGTAACTTTGGGGAATAACGGTAACTCATCGGCGCCTGTGAGGGCCCACAGCGGTGCCGGTGTCTCTAAGGGTTTCACACGCCCAACTCTGAGTGCCTACACCAGTGCCTATTAAAGTCCTATATCGGTGGCTCTGAGGATCCAACGGCCAACACCTGCGCATCTAAATTGGTGACTTTTGAGGGCCCCACCGGCGTCTGACAGTACCATGCCGGTCTCTAAGTAAGGACCCCACAAAATTTCTTCTGCCGGCCTAAGGGCCCCTTGCCGGTCACTGAGAACCCCCTGCCGGCTTGTAGAGGGTTCACGTCAGCGGCTCTAAAGGCCCCACTCCCGTCTGTAACGGCTCCACACCAGCGTCTATGAGGGCCCACAGCAACGCCTGTAAGGACCCTCACCGGCGCCTCTGAGAGAATCACACTAGCACCTCTGTGCGCCCACACCGGCACCTGCATGAGGGCCCCACACCGGAGCCTCTAAAAGCCCCTTACCGGCGGCTCTAAGGGCCCTACGCCGGTGATTCTGAGGGTGCTACCGATAACCGAAGGCACCACACCAGTACTTAGTGTCGCTGAGCTTTTATCCCATACCGGCCTTCCGAGGGCGCCACCTAAGTGCACTCATTGCCCTACACCCCTCCCTCACACCCGGAGCGTGTAAACTGTGTTATGCCTATAGCAACGATTTTACCACCGTTGTACGTTATGTGCATATTTCTTAAAGTTGACTCAAAATGGTCCAGCATAAAACATGGTCTGCCAAACTCATGGCCAAGGTCAGGCCCAAACCAAAGCGGGATGACAATAGCAGATGCTGTCAAATCGATACTGTATCAACAGAAACAACTCAGATGGCAAGGAACATGCCGTGTGTTGATGTTTAGATATATGCATAAAGGAAACAAAAAGGAAAGAAGTATGGAAAAGGGAGGAAAGATACTTTCTCGCCGCCTCAATGTTGAGGGGGCGCCGCCCCCTCGGCTCTCAAGGTGGGGGGGGGGGGCAAGCGCCCCCGCTGCCCCCCCTGTTCCCGGGTCTATGGGGGTTCTTAAAAAATGTCCAACTTTACCACGCGCCACGTGCGGTGGTTGGCAAGAACGCATGGTGGCCATCACACCACAGAACTTTTACGTCCAAGTGACATTCAGTAAAGAAGACCGCTTGTCAATCGGATGTCCGTTCTTAAGATATTAGCTTTTGAAGAGCGTCCCCACGGCCGGCCGCTCATACTCAGGATTTTCCCTTAATTCAGTATAAACTCGCTCGCTCGCTGCGCTCGCTCGCTCGTAATGATATAATCGGTACAAATATTCGCTGTTTCCGTCTAAAGCTCTAAAAATGAATAAAATCACGTGTTTCCTCTTTTACTGGCCTACTGCCGATTTTCCTGCGATCGATGACCAGGTGATGAACCCGTTTATGCTGTTGAATGTGTCCCGAGAAGCAATATGAGCTGCTTTTAAGATCTTTCTTGTCGACTTTGTCATGTTCTTTTCTGATATTGTCATAGTATCCCCATCACCTACGTGTTTTTTTTCTATGTGTAGCACTATCGCGTTTGAAGTACGATGTAATTTTACATCGCTTCTATGCTTTTTGGGATAGAACGACAATATTAGAAAAGAACGTAACAAAGTCTACGAGAAAGATCCTAGAAGCAGCTCATATTATTACATGGGACGCATTTAACAGGAGAAACGGAGTCTTCACTGACAGCAAATTCATCGATTCAATCGATTGCAGCAAAATCGGCAGTAGTCCAGTAAGAGAAGAAACACGTGATTCTTATTACGAGCGAGCGAGCGCAGCGAGCGAGCGAGTTCATACTGAACCAGTATAACGCCTTTTGGGGCGATTAACGGAGCGAGCGAGAGGGTGGGCCTTGCACGTGCGAAATTGCGAGGGGGTACCTTTAACTGACTTGTGCACGGCGCCCTGCTAACCGGTCTCTAGCGATGTGCCAAATTTGAGCACAATCGGCTCAGCCGTTCTCGAGATCTGGAAGCGACACCTTGCACGTGCGCACGTGCAAAATGGGTCCCAACTGACTTGTGCACGGCACCCTCCTAACTGCTCCGTAACCGTGTACCAAATTTGAGCGCAATCGGTCCAGCCGTTCTCGAGATCTGGAACGACCCTTGCACGTGCGCACGTGCAGCAGCACCCAAACTCTGGCACATGGATATGCATTGTCAGTCAGTTGGAGGTACCCCCTCGAAATTTCGCACGTGCAAGGCTCACCCTCTCGCTCGCTCCGTTAGTCGCCCCAAAAGGCGTTATAACTTATACCTACTAGTAGTTACTAGATGCCGGCAGCGCTCGTGCGTTGCCTTGGGCCAGAATTGGAGGATCCATAGCCCAATGACTTCATTAAAAACCGACTTTTGTGTCGCTAGATCGACGTTTCCCGGGATCAGAGGATCCCTCGTCAAAACCGTTATCCGCCACCCCGCACGCGCAGCTTGCACCCCTCTGATATTATCTCGCCGGAATGTCATGATCAAATGTATTCTTCTTATGACCTGCAAGTTTTGAACCAGTTAGAGCTGCCGTTTACCCTGCAGGTGTGGCAACGTACGAAGGGGTGCAATCGGCTTGCACGTGCATAGCTCATGCACCACAGAGTTTAGTTCAACCAAATGTGCACTATTTTGGAGGCCTTGCCTGGGACTAACATTGAACCGATTTTGAGGTCGATAGCTCAAGATTTCTTTGAGCCAGAGGACCTCACGTCAAAACGGTTTTCCGCCCCCAGCACGTGCAGCCTGCACCCCTCGCAGACGGTGACCCCCCTGGAAACTGGTTCAAGGTGTTACCGATGTGTCCCGCCAGTGTGGCTTTGCCCGTGGCCTCGGGTTGACCTGTAGCCTTGACAAAAAATTTCGTGTCACCGAAACTTTGAAGCGGAATAGCATGTGCCACGAAGCACCGAGCGAACCGAGGCCAGCACCAAAAGTTTACCTCGCCGGAGACGAATCAAACGGTCCCACTTTCGTCCCGATCGGTCCACCCATTTTGACTCCAGGTCCAAAAAAGCTTGGACAAACTCACTCACATACTCACACTGACAAACAGGTTCAGCCTGTTTTATGTTTTAGGGCCTTGGGTTCAGCCGAACTTTTTTTCAGCGACCCACCAATGGGAATTTCCGTATGCAAAAGCATGCTATCGCATGCTTTTGATCCTCCAATTCTGGATAATATAATATTTATATAATATCATGATATAATATAATATTAATTAATAATAATATAGTATTTCTAATAATATGATATTTCTATTTTTCATTAATAATCTAATATTTTTATCGTAAGTGCTGATTTTTCATGTGTCCTGTGTCATTTAGGGATGCGGAATTCGCCGCTTGCCGATGACGAATGTGACCTTTTTTTACAGCGTAACCTGCCTACCAGAGTGCATCAATTCTTCGTTGGCCATACAGTCACCGGGACGGGAGGCTGTATATGGAACACGAGTTTACAGTCTGGTGAGGTGATGTTCCTACGAACCAGGGGCGTCGCCATGGGTTTTTGAGTGGGGGGGACGAAGCTCGACGGATCCTGCAGGATTTTTTCCTATGCTAGAACCCCGCGACCCCGTTTTCAGCCTTTTCTCTGGATTTGATGCACTTTATTTTCGATGTAGCCGGTTTTTATTATTTTTATTGCGCACTTCTTTTCATTGTGTTCATTCAGGCATAATTTCTAAGCCCAGGGCATCGTGGGACACAGAGAATAAACGACACCCTATACTTTGATTTTATTTTTTTAATGTCAGAATGCATGTGTAGGGGAGAGTGGGGTGGGTTGTATCAGTTTTTACTCCGAGACCCATAACCTCGTAACTATCCGTGGTAAACTCATTATTTCCATACTATCTCCTTCCTTGATTCTTCGGCTTTTTTGTGCAAAGTAACTTTTCCGCTACCTCTATCAGTTTTTCTTCTACGGTCTGCCGAATAGAACAATGTTTTTGATACAACTTGCCCCATGGCTTGGGTGAGTTGTATCACATGGTGGGGTGATTTGTATCACTATTTCACGTTTCAGGGAGTGTGCTTGCTACTGGTTTTAAACATAACAACAACATTAAATGGGGTTAATACAATGTATATTGCTCAAAGGCTTCACTTTTATTAGACCAAACTCTAGGTCAATTCGTACGAAACATCGAAACGAACGAAAAATCAACAGACTAGACGCAAAAGTGGCCCGTTAAGAGCAAAGAAGCCAACACATTGTGCCGAAATGGAACGAATATTGACTAGCTACCTACAAACGCGAGCCAGGGCTTAGCTTTCGCGATCAAAAGCAACATACCCATACATACATACATACATACATGTTACAACATACCCCACCCGGCTCTGATACAACATGTACCTCGCCGCCATCTTGGAAAAACATCCTCGTGCTCAAAAACAGCGGACAGCTGGAGAAATCCATTTTCACTCACGCAGCCTTAGAACCTACCCTCACCACCGCTAGGGATATCTTTCAAATTTGTGCACATCTAGCTGCCCAAAACACACATTTTCTTGCAACTCATTTTTTTAGAATGACATTAAAAAAACATAAAATCGGCTCTCACCTCGAGACGCGTCCACCCAGCCACACGACAGAACAGGGAAAGATGGCGCCCGAAAAACCTCGTCGGCTGGTCGTGTCACGAGCCCCATCTATTGGATAAGTTTGACACAATTCGCCCTGATACAACTTGGACATGATACAACTCTCCCCGCTCTCCCCTATCACTAAGATGTTTTGATTTTTCAGAAGAACGCCTTTGAGTACGAATGGTAAATGTAAATGGGAAAGGTTTGGACTTGCTTATTTCCGGTTTCTTTACTTAAATTATAAATGCATAGAACACAAGTACCAAAATTGACTTTCCTCAAAGGAAGCCGTTTAACTTTTGGTGATGAACTTTCGTGTCATTCATTGTTAAATATGCTCGTTTTGCTTCAGCTACAGACCAAGCGAAGCATATTCTATATACCTAAAGGCATGTGCTTAATTTTGACCGCCTAAATCGGCTTTCGTCTCTCTTTGAATTGCTCGTGCAATGTCGCATTAACGTGAGTCTTTTCGATTCACGTGTGATTGAAAGGCTCTTGTAATAAAAATATCCAACATTCCAGAGAAAGATCAAACTTAGAAGTGCAGAGACACAGGTTTATTACCTCCACTCACAGCTCACTGACGCCCGAATACTCGCTCTCGGCCGGCGTTAAAGGGACTATCCCACTCATTTTGGGCTTTGAGTTGAGATAGCCAAGTTTGCGGCGAGGTTCAGAAACCACTATCTATCTAGGTTGCAACTAGAGCACTTCACGGATAGGCTTTTTAGGATCCGGCCCGGCCCATATCCGGCAAGTCATATCCAGATCCGCCCATTATCCGCCTTTCTTTGAATATCAGAATCCGGCCCACCCATGGCCCGTATTGCAGCCAAACTTCCAAAAAATATCCGTAATAATCCGTTTCACCAATAACTGGTTTCACCCAAAACTGGACTAACAAATTCAATCTAAGGGACCAGACAGCCATACATCTCATAGACCATCATGGTTCCAAAAACCATGCATACATTGCATACATTATCCACTTGAAGACAAGTCTTGTGACAAGTGAGTGTCATAAAATGATGCCTTTTACTTTAATCAAACCTCTGCTGCCTCTTAACACATTAGGTTAATTTTTAACTTCAATGTTGAATGTTAAAATTTTGATCCGTTTTGATCCGGGTTCAACCTTCAATTCCCAAATCCGGCCCGCCCATATCCGTTCTTTTTTAACAAATTTAGAATCCAATCCTATCCGGTCCGCGGATTTATCCGTGGATAACGGATTTATCCGGCCCATGAAGTGCTCTAGTTGCAACCCCCGCGGCCTCTTGGTGTTGAAGAAATTCGTTCCCTTCATTTGAAAATGGGCCTTGTACAAGGCCCTATCTTCAACATGGAGCGACCGTTAGTGTGACGTCACCTCGTTTAGTCATTCTGATTTGAATGGGGTTGTTCGTTGAAAAATCGCTTAAAACTTGGTCTGAACTTTGTTGTGGTGCCTACAGAGTAAAAAGAATCAGCTTTATGACAGTAATGTGGCCTGGGGAATGAGGTAATTTTGGGCTGTGACGTCACATATTTGAAAGTTTGTGTTTGGAATATGGGAAGCCTAAGATGTTTAATGAAAAATAAATGCCAGAACCGTGTTCCTGGTCATCCAATCTATAAAGTCGGGCACAATTTAACTGGTTTTAACAACATTTTAGAAGGTGGGATAGTCCCTTTAAGGCTGACGAACTGAGCCACGAGTTTGTCAGCATCCACAGCATCCACCCGGTGCCGGTGTACGTGGCAGACAGCCACCGAGGTGAGTCGGTCCTGGCGCATCGTCGAACGAAGCCAAGTCTTCAGGCGGCGCAGCGCACTGAAACTCCTCCCGGCCGTTGCTGAGCTTACAGGCAGTGTCAGGAGAAGCTGCAAGAGCTTGTTCACTTCTGGGAACATTGCTCTTGCGGGCTCAGGCACCTCCTGCATGATGTTGACCGCATCCTGAAGAGACTTAGATCTTCTGTCCCGGTAAAAAAAACTTGTTCGGTAAAGGATTACTTCTTTTTTTTCCGCAGAATGACAGGTAACTGAGAAAAAGCAGCTCGAAAACTTCTATTGACATTCAATTTGAGGAGGGGATAATCCCCCCACCCTTACTCCAGGGGGGGGGGGGACGGTGTCCCCCCCATCCCCCCCCTGTGGCGACGCCCATGCTACGAACAGTAAACGATAAATGCGTGCTGCTCATTCTGACGTCATTTGCGTCCAACCTATCTGAGCCTTTGAAATATGTTTTTAAAACAACACTGAAAACAAGTTGAAAGAACGTAATGCAAAAGCATCTTAAAATATTCCACACTTAGGTTTTTTGGGTATTAGGGTAAACTGGCTTAGAGGCGAAGCAGAACGTCTGGTTCATGAAGAACACACACAGTGTTTCACATAGACCGAAGACACGTGCTGCTTCTTCGCGCGCAGTCTTAGCGGCCCCAGGGGGCTTCAACTCGACCAACACCGGTTCTTCTTCGTTCTCCCTAGTCACGTGATATACGTCACACAAAGCGCGCGAAAGATAAACCCTTTGGAGGTTTTGCACGAACTAGCATCGGGTTTAAGAAGAAGGGGTTGTGGTTTAATCAGTGTAATGGCTTTCATCAAGACCACGCCCGCGGTACCACGTTCTAGCGTCCACCGGAAGCGATCGCCATTTTTCGATCGCGTTGGATCACGCTTTGTGCAGTGACGAGCGGCTGGTGCAAGATTGGGTGAATGGCAAGTAATCGAATATTGAAGAACTGAAATAAGGTTAATTTTTGGCTTGTCAAGTGTTGTGTATTATTTATATTACTTGTGATTGACAATGATAAGCAATATCACAGCGCTCTTCAAATGCATGGATGAATGCATTGGATGAAGAAAATTCATATGCAAGACCTATCAATGCAGTAAGTATCTATATGTTGTATAAATGCCCATAGCTTAAATTATGCATGTGGTATTTAGACAAATTTTCCAAATGAAGATAAATCAGGAATAGAATCAGCTTCAAGCTTGCCATTTTGGGGTCAACTGATTTAGGTATAGGTAAATTTGGCTGATTTTAATAAACATATGTTCTTGCTAATTAGTGCAATATTTTATCTAGCTGCACTTTATATGTTAAGTGCATTAGGTATTTTATTTTTGGAGTAGGCTCATGGTCTCTGAAGTCAATCTAAGTTTCTTTAACTCCCTGCCTGTTGAATAACGCATCCGCCCGACTCTTCATTCTAGGGGACGAGGCCATCTCCACTCTGATTGAGGCCCTGGAGTCTGAGGAGAGCGTCCTGGCGCGCGGAGACGTCGACTTCGTCGAAAACGCTGGCTTGAAGCTGGTGGTGGAAGGAGAAACTGTATGTGATTTGGGAGAATGCGATATCGCCACCCGGCTGCTGACATGGGCGATAGCGCATACTGTGTTTGGGAAAACATCCACTTGCTAAAGCTAAAAATGTGTTCATATTTGTACAGAAAGCAACCCTGAGCGTGAAGGAATCAACCTGAATAATTAAACATGCCCGAAAGGCTCTGGAGTTCTTTGGCTTGGATGTGTAAGTTAAGTGACACGGCCGAGGGGAAAGCGTTCCTGCAGGCTGATCGCAGGCTGAATGCGGGCTGGTTGCGGGCTGATCGCATGGGCGGGTTGCGGGCTTGTTCCTGACTGGAGACTTGCAGGCTGATTGCTCAGAGTAAAGAGGAAGGTAATACATTTTAAGGTGTATCAAATACTGTCTTTGCGCAGCAGATGTGACGGCGCAGGTCGATAGCCATGCATGGGAGGTTCAATAGACGAATGAACGGGGATTTTGCGGTATTGCAATAGAACTGAAAGGGTTCTACAACCGATATTCAGAACACAGGGTGGTTTCCCTATAAACCTCAGGGACTTCTTCACAGACCCTTTGGGGTTCTTATCTAGGTGCTAAGAACGCTCTTATTATAAACCCTAAACCTCATAAGAGTCTTTGGAAGAATCGTGTGGGTTCTTTTGATGAGAATGCAAAGCCGTCTACGTGAAGAACCATGGGGGTTCTGAAAAACGGTGGCATAACATTTTACCCCACAGGGGTCTAAATACCCCTGTACGTTCTTAACGTTCTTCCAAAGTGTTTTCAGTGAATGTGTAAAATCGATGCCCGGAGGGCCCCTGAAAGTTTAGTGACGATATCTACAGTCGTTTAGGAGATAAATCTACGGAAAAGGCCGGGGGGGGGGATACGGAGCGCGGGTTAACTGATTTTCTATTTAGTTTATACCATTTTAAAAAGTATCAGCCCCTTTTATTTTTTACATAACTACATTAAAGGGACTATCCCACCTTTAACATGGGGTTTGAGTTGAGATAGCCAAGTTTGCGGCGAGGTTCAGAAACCACTATCTATCTAGGCTGCACTTGCAACCCCCGCGGCCTCTTGGTGTTGAAGAAATTCGTTCCCTTTATTTGAAAATGGACCTTGTACAAGGCCCTATCTTCAACATGGAGCGACCGTTAGTGTGACGTCACCTCGTTTAGTCATTCTGATTTAAATGGGTTTGTTCGTTGAAAAATCGCTCAAAACTTGGTCTGAACTTTGTTGTGGTGCCTACAGAGTAAAAAGAATCAGCTTTATGACAGTAATGTGGCCTGGGGAATGAGGTAATTTTGGGCTGTGACGTCACATATTTGAAAGTTTGTGTTTGGAATATGGGAAGCCTAAGATGTTTAATGAAAAATAAATGCCAGAACCGTGTTCCTGGTCATCCAATCTATAAAGTCGGGCACAATTTAACTGGTTTTAACAACATTTTAGAAGGTGGGATAGTCCCTTCAAACATACTTCAGTTCTTATCAATACACTCCTATTAGTATCACTTGACATGGGCAAAGTCAGGGACAGCTGACACCTGACACGGGCGGTGTCAGGACAGCTGACACGGACAGGGGCGGTGTCAGGACAGCTGACACTGACAGGGCCAGGACAGCTGACAGCTGACATGGACAGGGCCAGGACAGCTGACAGCTGACACGGGCAGAGTCAGGACAGCTGACACCTGACACGGGCGGTGTCAGGACAGCTGACAGCTGACACGGACGGTGTCAGGACAGCTGACACGGGCGGTGTCAGGACAGCTGACATGGGCGGTGTCAGGACAGCTGACACCTGACATGGGCGGTGTCAGGACAGCTGACACCTGACACGGGCGGTGTCAGGACAGCTGACAGCTGACATGGACAGGGCCAGGACAGCTGACAGCTGACACGGGCAGAGTCAGGACAGCTGACACCTGACACGGGCGGTGTCAGGACAGCTGACAGCTGACACGGACGGTGTCAGGACAGCTGACACGGGCGGTGTCAGGACAGCTGACATGGGCGGTGTCAGGACAGCTGACACCTGACATGGGCGGTGTCAGGACAGCTGACACGGGCGGTGTCAGGACAGCTGACACGGACAGGGCCAGGACAGCTGACAGCTGACATGGGCGGTGTCAGGACAGCTGACATGGGCGGTGTCAGGACAGCTGACACGGGCGGTGTCAGGACAGCTGACACGGACAGGGCCAGGACAGCTGACAGCTGACACGGGCGGTGTCAGGACAGCTGACGGCTGACACGGACGGTGTCAGGACAGCTGACAGCTGACACGGGCGAGGTCAGGACAGCTGACACCCGACACGTCTATCTGCCGGCGCCGCTGCAGGACTCGGACCTGTGCCTGGCGGCCGTGCACGACGCACGACTGCCGCACCCGAGCCGGATGGCCGGGCCCACCGCCGTCCTGCTGACCCTGGTCCAGTACGGTGGCACGTTTGTGGCCAGCTTTCGACGAGGAGTCAGCAGTGCCAGTCGCGCCTACCAATACCAGCAGCTGGGAGTCCAGTTCACCAGTGACTGGGTACAGGGTAAGTGCCGAACAGAAATGCACACCGAGGTATTAACCATGGTTATTACTCGTATAAATTTTGTATAGGTAACATAGATTTTGCTTGAGGTGAAAACTCCGCAGCATGAGCTGAAGTGGACCTGTATAAGTTTCGTGTTTGGTGCTATCGTCATTCGAACAATATGAAATCTAATTCAGTTGGGCAGTTTATAATTGGACCATGATCAGTTGGAAGTTTAACCCGGCGGCCGCTGGGCCTCCGCGCCACCCGCCGGCCGCTGGGGGGGGGGGGGCATATAGTTGCCCCCCCTTTACTTCTGCGACGATATCGTCGCAACGCGAAGAGATAGAGAAGCGAAACTTTGCACACATCTTTCTGAATACCTAGCCGAGGTTGTGTCCAAATTTGGTGTCGATCCCATTTGAAATGACGTCACAGTGACGTCATAAGTGAAATTATAGATTTGCGACTCTCATATTCCTCACGATACATCAGATATATGGGACCGAATATAAAGGGTCGATTATTGGTCAGAAACTAGATGTAAGTGTAGTTAGATGTTTTAGGATGACAGCAGGTGCTGTCTGGTTCATTTACAGTTGAGTTTCATGCTCAGCGTCATCAGAAACGGTCCATATCGGAAAACGACAAAACTTTATGACGTCACTATGACGTCATCTTAGTTGCTACAACCACCAAACTTTCCTCAAACATTGCCTAGGTATTCATTTGAAGCTATGCCAAGTTTCACGTTCGTGGCTCATCAAGTTTCGGAGATATTTCACAAAACGTAAAGGGGGGGGGGCAACTTTATGCCCCCCCCAGCGGCTCGTGGGTTAAAATAACGCCTAATTAATGTTTTGTTTTCTGGGCTGTGGCACAGCCGTTTTCTTCTAACGACGATGCCTTTTTATTTTAGCCATAATCATGATGTCTTCTCGGTTAAACAAGCAAAACATTTAATAATTGTATTGGTCAAATTATTTAACCACCGCCACATTTGGCGCTTCAGAAGCAATTTCAAATCAAGCAATACCTATTTTTACAGAGGCGGTTCCGGATATAACGACCGTCCACACCAACTTCAGACGAGAACGAGGACCTGCATACGTGCGATGTCATGTCGGCTCGCCCTACCAGCTGTCAGAGGCTGCCATATACCGAGTCTCTGGTGGACAGGCCGAGGCGCATGCTTTGAACGTGGGTGAGTGACGAATCTTGGACTTCAATCGATTTACATTGTCTGTTTCACAGTTGGTTCACATTGCGGTCTTGAAACTGTGTGCTTGCAATTACGATCTTCTCGAAACTTGTATATTTGTTTTGACACAATCTCACCTGCCGTGATCATTCTTTGCAGGTGCTGACAATGATTATGTGTCTTTGACCCACAACCGTGAGAAGAATGATCCTCCGGAAGTTTTTCTCTGCCGCTTGAAAGCCTCAGCGTACTCCGACACAACTACTTTTGCGTACAGTCCTGAACGTACGCATACCTTAGTTTAAGAAGTATTTACATTAGGTACCTAAAACAGATGTGAATTTGAGTTAAAAGGCTATGATAGAAGTAAGAATGACGTAATAAACCATTTTGAAAGAGCGAGAAAATTATTATTTCGACGGATTATGATTCACTATTGGGCTTCGCTATCTAAAAAGCCACGTTAAATAAAAAAGTAAAGATGAAATTGCTTTGTTACAGACAGTACGAGGGCTGTAAAATATTGAACGCCATGTTCTTTCCAGCATACTTTGAACCAATTGATAAGATGTATTGGTCAAGTGCTGGGAGTGACGTAACAATCGGGTCACTTCCATCGCGTGGAGCGCCGACCTGGTTTGGAGCAGGGTGAGTAAACGTGCCAGCTGGCTGAGGAAGGCGATCGAACACAAAGTACGGAAAACATTGGGCCACGTACTGACTTTCGGTACCTACCTAAACGCCGTTCTAAATATGGTGCGTCAAATATTCATGAAGAAAGTAGGTACGTCAAAATTCAGGCATTTAGGGTACCTACCACATTGACATGACACTTCTAAAGCATACCTAAGGAATTGCTAGTATGGATGTTACAGGCACTGTGTGGAATCAGGCATTCTAAATACCTGACCGACCAGGCATTCTATAGAATCCCTGACTGCTAAGGCATTCTAAAGGCATTCTATAGAATGCCTGGCTTAATCCTCGCCTGGCAGGGCATTTTTCATAACGCGGCCTGGCAGGGGGGGGGGTCGATGCGACCCCCCTCGCAATTGGCTCGTTTGGGGGGTATAAATTTAAAAATTTCGCTAAAGTAGTTCAAAAGCTTTTCGCTTATAACTTTTGATCTAATTAAAGGGAGAATATGGACATTCTTATTTCTTAAATAAAAATTGTTCGACTTCCATGCTATTTTTATTGTAGTTTCTATAAAACATGAAAATTTCCTAACTAGCACATTTTTGTATGTGAAGTTTTTTTTTTTAAAGAGGCAGTACTTGCAGTAGGTACTTACCAACCGTCTAAAACACCCACCGAAATGCTTTGTCCTTCTCTATAAAAGTCCAGTGTATGGCACTTTTGCTTCAAACAACGACGCGTTAACCTGCGTTATTGTGCACCACACATGAATGGCATGCGCCAGAAACGAGGTTAAATCTTGCGATTGCGACTACGAAATTCATTAACCCGCGACCCGTTGGGGAGAGGCCCAAAACCACAGGGGAGGCCAAAAGGGCCACCTCTGTGGTTTTTCGGAAATAACTCAGAAACGACTGCGAATTATGACTTGAAACTATCAGTTAACTCCCCGGACATCAATTTTACACAACTCCCGAAAAAATTAGGTCCCAGGTCATCTCAGGTCACGAGCTATAGAGGTCAAACTGAGGTCATGTTCGGCGATTTTTTGTCGAAAAAGTTGTTCACGGAGAAAAATCGCAGAAAATCAGGGTTTCAACTTAGCGGCTTAAAAATTGTACCGTAGGTATAAAAAAGCGTGGCAAACAAAATGGCTATCTCGAAATTTCCAAACTTTTAAATCTTCAGATCTAGAGATTTTCTAACTCAAAATTTAGCTTTCTTTAGATATATTTGAAATTTGAAGAAACTTTCAAAAAACCAGTATATATGTTATAGAACCCCTTACTGGCCTCACACATGCCAAAATTTAACAAAATATCTCTAAAACTGCCTGAGATATAGCCATTTGAATGACGTTTTATGTAAAAAAGTAAAAAGAAAAAAGTATAAAGTAAAAAATGACGTTTTATGTTAGAGCGTCAAAATTCCAAAATTGCAAAAATCCAAGACAACAGTTTTGTAGCCATGCTCATTCTACACTTTTTATGTCTTTAACATTTTTATGTATCTTTAATGCTATAGGGCTGACAGCTCTTTCCGCGAAACCTATTTTTTGGGTCGAAAATGGCAGAACATGACATCATTCTGACGGCATTTTCGGCCAACCTATAATAGCCTCTGGAAATTTTTTAGTCACAATATGTAAAAATGATGCCCGGAGGGGTCCTGGATGTTTGGGGACGAGATATGCAGCCGTTTGAGTGATATCTACGGAAAAGGAGGGAGAGGGGCCGTTTCGTCCCCCCCCCCTACGGGGCGCGGACTAAGTCATTTCTAGGTCAGGCCAATTTTTGGTCATTTTTTTTTACTCGTAGCTGTTTTCTCCAGTCTGATCTTATATCGATGCTTTATCTTCCCGAGGGAAACAACTTCCAAAAATTGACGCCCTAGCAAACTTCGCTGCGTGAATTTTTGACCAAAGCCGTTTACGACATTGCCATTACCACCATCGTCATTCGTCTTTCTAGCGATAAGATTAATGCCTCTGTACTCTCAGAATGAAATTTTTAAAGATGATCTACAACGTTTGACCTAAGAAGGTTAGATTGAATACCTGATCGGCAAATTTGACTGAATGAACATTTAAAATAGCTGACCACAAGGTAACCTGGCAGAAAATAATAATGTTGCATATCGGTCTGTACTAGAGATGTCAATCAGATACCAATTTTTTTCTAGTATACCGATACCAAACCGATATCAAGTTGGTATTTGGTATTTCAAGGCTAATGCATTTGGTATTTTGTTGGTGTTAGAGTGAGTTTGCGGAATCGGTGGATCCGCGGAGTCCCTAGGGAATCCACGGAGTCCCTAGTGTATGAACATCAAGTCTAGCATATTCGCATAGGTGGGCAAGTCCGTTAAATCGCTAATCCGTTAATTAACGAAACTAAATTTTGGGTTAACGATTAACGGACTCGCTAATTTTTTCCACGTGTAACGGACCGTTTAAGTTCCGTTACTTTTCGGCTCCGTTAATCGTTAAAATTTAGTCCGTTAATCCGTTAATCGTTACTTTTATTTCGAAGCAAAAAGTTAACTGTAAAGTTACTGCGAACACAAGGCTGCGAACTCAAGAACACAAGTTACTTGAGTGCGCCTCTTGAGCTGTTTGTGTGCGCCTCATCTCTGGTATTCAGTGTGTTGCGGCAATATACGTTGCAAATTGTGATGCACACGCCTGTCATTGGAACGCTGCCTGACTGAGAGGCGGAGAGAAAGGGTAGAGCTGTTTGTAAGGCGAGCTGAATCGTCGGTAACTCAGGTTGAAATCGGTCGCAACTCGCATCACACATATCATCACCATGTATTATATTTATAAATAGGTATATCTTATCCATGCCGTCACCGAGCAGGCGCAATTGTTGGCAGGTCTTCGAGAGCAGAACCGCGCTGTTAGTGGCGCCTAGCCGTTAGCGTAGGTTGGTCGAGTTGTCCCCAGAAAAATGCACAACCATTTTCATATTGTTTATTACCGTGTAAAATGTTAACGATTAACGGACTTAAGTAACTTCCGTTACTTTTGTTGTGAATTAACGGATTATCGTTTGCCGGAACTAACTTTTTAGTTAACGGATTAACGATTAACGAAACTAACTTTTTGATCAACGGTGCCCACCTATGCATATTCGCGGATAAATGGGCGGGGATCCGCGGATGAACAAGACTCTTCAGGATAACCACGAACTCCCTGAAGAGTTGCCGAGATCCGTGAACCACCCGGGGAATCTGCGGAGTAACGATTCATTACGAGCGAGCGAGCGCAGGGAGCGAAGCGAAGTCTTTTCAGTATAACGGAAAAATCTCAGTATGAGCGGCCCGGCCCGGCCCGGCCCAGCCCGGGATGTAACGCTTTTGAGAGGCTTATATCTCAGCAACCGCTGGACCGTTTGACCTGCGGTCTTTTTTGCTGGGTAGCCCCATCCTTTTTTTGAATTTTGCATCCCGGTTGCACTGAGGCATACCGGGGAGGGGAAGCCCCATCCATTCTACCCCGCAATTGACTACTCCTGACACATCTCAGTGACCATTTGGCACGTGCCACGTGAAAAGTCAAGGGTGTTCAAGCTGTTTTGCAAAAGTAGTGATTTTGAGAGGCTCATATCTGATATCTCAGCAGCCGCTTGGGCGATTGTCTTGCGGTAATTTTTCTAGGGTAGCTGCATCCCTTCTACCAAAGGTCGGATACTCTTTATCTATGTGAGTGACCCCCACTGCACGTGCAAAATACAAAAAGAAGGGGTGCCAAATTTGTTCCCATTTCAATAACTCGGTAATTACTGGGGCGATTTCGCTGAAAGTTGGATACAGGTAGGCTCCCACCAGGCAATGCATTCCCATGTGTTGCGGTTAGGGTGCTACTGCACGTGCGCACGTGCAGGGGGCGCTTCCAGATCTCGAGAACGGCTGGGCCGAATGCGCTCAAATTTGGTACACGGTTGGGGACCGGTTAGTAGGGTACCGTGCAAAAGTCAGTTTGGACCCCGTTTGCACGTGCGCACGTGCAGAATGCCGCTTTCAGATCTCAGGAACGGCTGGGCCGATTGCGTTCAAATTTGGCACACCGCTAGCGACCGGTTAGAAAGGTGCTTTGCACAAGCCCCGTTGAAAGTACCCTCTCACCCTTCCGCACGTGCAGGGCTCACTATCTCGCTCGCTCGTTCTTCGCCCAAAAGGCGTTTTACTGGTTCTAGTGAGTTTGCGAAGTTCCTATGCGTTTCATGCAGCTATCTTATGACAAGAATGCAAGGCATACCTATTGGCTAGATCGTCTGTGACTTAACCCGGCAGGCGGTGGGCCTTACGGCCACCTTCCGCGCGTTGGGGGGAGGCATTTTTTTCCTCCCGTATCTCCGAAACTACTGGATGGATCCGAAAAAATTCAAACGGCATTCGATAGCCCTGTCAAATTTGTTGAAGCAACCCAAATTTCATTGACCTCGGGGTCACCGATGACGTCACAGGTCAGGTCAAAGATAAAATGTCTCACAGTTCACGGGTCTTCTAGGGAATGCGTCATAACTCATAACATCGAGTAAAACGCATTTTGTTGAAAATCAGCGATAGCGCGTCAGTTGCCTAGTACATATGCTGCTATTTGAGGTCACTGCTAATGCCAGGTCAGGTCACAGGTCAGGTCACCAAGGGTCAGCACATGAACCCGAGTTTACTTGGTTGTGCGATGCATGTTTTATGGCCAATTTTCATTTCTTACTCAGTGGTGTTGGTTATAAGACCATCAGGTACGGTTTAGGTCACTTTTTGGTCGAGGTCAGGTTAACCCGCGCCCCACTGGGGTCTGCGTATAACACGCCCTACTGGGGGGGGGGGGCTATTCATAGCCCCCCCCCTCCTAACTCCGAAACTACTGGGCCGATCGTCAAAATGCAAACGGCGTCTGATAGCCCCGGAAAAACTGTCGAGCGAAACCTAATTTCATTGGCCTCGAGGTCACCGATGACGTCACAGGTCAGGTCAAAGTAAAAATTATTAGCATTTTGGCTTCT